CCATTGCCCAGCACTGCCTTCGCTCTCCCGTCCTGGTTCAGTTCCTCTGACAGATGAAGGGCTGGCTGGGAAATAGCTTCACAGCCACTGAGCTAATTCGTGCAGCATCTTTCCCACTCACACCGAGAACTTCTGTTACTGGTCAGGGGTGAGTTACAGACAGAGATACTGGAGACCTTCACTAGGGCCGCCCAGAGGGGGGGGCAAATGGGGCAATTTGCCCCAGGTTCCGGGCCCCGCAGGGGCCCCCATGAGATTGTCGGAGGCTCCCCCCACCTCTGCCTCCGCCTTCCCCCATCCCCCGGCGCCTCAGCGCGCCACGTCCAAACGCAGCCCTGGACGGCGCTGCAGCAGCATGGCTCGGGGAGAGCCTGAGCTCCTCCCGCTCGGAGTGGCTGGTAAGGGGGCGGGGCTGTGAGCTCCGGCAGGCCAAGCAGCAGAAGCTCCTGGATGCGGCTCGCTGAAGCTCTGGGAGAGGCGGCAGGGTAAGCCCCTCTGAGCCGGGCACCCTGCGACCCCCAGCTCCGAGCCCAGCCCCTCTGAGTCAGGCACCCCTGACTCCATCCCCCCCAGCCCTGACCCCAGCTCCAAGCCCAGCCCCTCTGAGCCGGGCAACCCCCCGACCCCATCCCCCACAGCCCTGACCCCCAGCTCTGAGCCCAGCCCTTCTGAGCCGGGCACCCCCCTGACCCCATCCTCCCAGAGCCCTGACCCCCACCTCCGAGCCCAGCCCCTCTGAACCGGGCACCCTCCGACCCAGAGCCCAGCTCCCCACCCAGCCCCAGGCCACAGTAGCACCACCCCCAGGCAGCGACAGCCCATTGGCACCAACCATCACCATCACTCAGCAACAGCCCATTATGTAATTGCAAATGTATACATACCACTAAAGCATTTAATGTTTTTAAATAATGTATTTAGTGTATTTTCAAATTATTACAAATTAATTTTTGAATGTATTTCACTGGCTATTTTTTACATTTCCAAATACATGTTACTATAGTATTGCAACTTTTTTTTATGGAAGGGGCCCCCGAAATTGCTTTGCCCCAGGCTGCCTGAATCCTCTGGGTGTCCTTGACCTTTACACTGACATCAACCATTGATATCAACTACAATGTCATCATAAACACACCAGGATTGATTTAGTCTTTTGCAAACAGCAACACTTCCCTGGTTTCCCCCCCACCCACTGCAACTTCTCAGCCTGAGGCTGGGAAGCACTGCCCCCATTCTAGAGTCTCCTCCATTCTCCTCCCCATCTCTCCTTCGCTCCTGCCCTCTCCCACTTCTGACCCCATCCCCTGCCTACTCCAGACTCCATTCCCCTCCCCAATACTCCCTCCTGTTCTCCTGCTCCAGAACCCCTCCCCTACCTCCTGTCCACCGGTACCAGACAGCCCTCCTCCAGCCCAACTCCTCCATCCTCCCCAATACTCCCTCATGTGCCCCTGCTGCAGGCTACCTCCGCTCCCTCCCATCCTCTGTTCCACACCCCTCCCCTCCTCACCCTCTTGCTGCCCTGCTTCAGACCCTCTCCCTCCTTCCCCCACAAGTTCACCCTTCCCCACCCCTCCCTCCTCCTTCCTCCCTTATAAGATCCCCACTTCTCCCCATGCAGACCCCCTTCTCTAAACCTCCTTCTGCTCCCCTCCCTCCTGCCCCCTGCTCAATAACCCCCTCTAGCCCCATGCTCCCTGCTCCCCTGTCCAGACCATCCTGTGCTCCATCTCCACTCCTCCCTCCTGCCCCAATTTTAGATCCCTGTCCCCTCCCCTCCCTTTTGACTCTCTGTCCTGCTTCCCTGTTAACCTCCACTGCAGACACCCCTCCCCTCCACACTTCTCCCTCCTGCCCGCGCTTTCTGACCTCCTTGCCACCCCCACTCCAGACACACCTCCTTGCTCCTGCCCCTTCCTACCCCCATTCCAGCCATCCTCTGCTCTGTCACTCCTTCCCCCTGCTACAGACTCTCTCTTTTACCCACCCTCTTTTCTCCCCTGGCTCCAGAACCCCATCCCTACCCCTCCCTCCGGCCGACTCATCATCTTTACCCCATTCCACTGAATCTTCCTCCTGTCTCCCCAGTGCCCTGCTCCCCTTACTCTCCCCATCCTCCTTTCACTGGGTCTCTGCTGCCCATCACAGGCCCTGGGTCCTCTCCAGCCCCCTCAGCCATACAGAGACAGCCATGTTCCCATTGGGCTTTAATGGGAAGTGGCAGCCAGTTTTACTCCAGGCGGCCTCACTCCCACATACTGACAGACTGTAGGGAGATGGTGGCATCTCGCTGGCTTCAGCCCCGGTGACAGTAACAGATGGCATCATCTGAAATAAGGGAAACCCTGAGAGTCGGCGCCTTTCATCGTGTTCTCATGGGACAGGTAAAAACACCCCAAATCGCCAGAGTGGGGATAAAATGGTGAGAGCTGCAACACTGACAGCCCCGAGTGTGAGGCCCTGAGACGGGATCAGGTGGCACCATGAGGCAGCTCTGGGCATGTCCCATTCTCCTGGCTCTGGGTGCGGATCCCCTGCTGCCGGGCACAGATTCTGCTGTGATAACGCTGAGGAGGGGGCTCCTTGCTCACTCTGACCTGTTCTGTGTCTGTCTTTGAAGGTGCTGATGAGCTGAAGCTGGTGGATGGGAGGCAGCCCCTGTGCCGGGAGAGTGGAGGTTAAACACCAGGATCAGTGGGGGACGGTGTGTGATGATGAATGGGACATGGCAGATGCTGGGGTTGTCTGTAAGCAGCTGGGATGTGGAGCTGCTGTCAGTGCCCCTGGCGAAGCTCATTTTGGAGCAGGATCTGGACCAATTTGGCTGGATGAAGTTGCCTGTGATGGTACCGAGTCTGCTCTCTGGAACTGTGGGAACGAGGTATGGGGTCAGAGTGACTGCAGTCATGGAGAGGATGCTGGAGTGACTTGTTCAGGTAAGAATCAGCCAGCTCAGTCCTGAAAGGCAAATCCCCTGAGACAAAAGGGCTTGAACCCACAAGGTGTTGTGTGCCTGTGACTCTAATGAGAAATGAACAAAAATAAGAGCAAGTCCTGTAATGATTGTAAATACTGAGCTGTAATTATTATGGTTCATGTCACTGGTCACTGAGGATCCCCCTGTTTGACTGTGAAGCATTTTCATTATCTCATTTCCAGTTTTTTCAGTGCCACGTCTTTCCTTTCCCTTTACCTCTGAATGTGGCTAAAAATGCAGATAGGAGAGAAAATGGAAAAGGAAAATGTCACTTAGGCTCCTAAGTCATTGAGGCACTTTTGAAAATGTTACCCTCATGCTAAAACTCAGACCCAGACACCCAACCGCAGAAGTACAGCATCTGGGGCATTTGTGTAGCCCCTTTGCCACCTTCATAGGGTGACCAAGGAATGGGCAAATTCTCCCAGATTGACCAGAATTAGATTTAGCAGAGAGCACTCCCCTGTCTGCTCTGTTACTTCTCACATTTTGGATCAACCAGTAATAGAAAATTTCACAGTCTCTGCTACCCTGTAGATCTAGGGTAGAATAGAGAGCTCAGCCAAAAATATGCCTCAACCCTACACAGCACAGGAATATCATATTATGGAGTCATTTGTTGTGACTCAATAGTTAACATTACAGCTATAGACCCATTACACGTTTTATTTTTAACTTCTCTCTTTTTAACATTTAGTAGGAATAATATCGTAACTAATCCCCATCTTCCCTGTATAGAGGTGCAGGGCCAGCTCATAGCGCCAAACCCAGGGGTCCTTTCTCAGGCAGTCAGCTATTGACTGTAATGTGAGTTTGCTTTGTACAGACTGAATAGAAGCAGGATAAAGGACTCAGGATTGGGCCCATTCAGAATTATTCCAGAAATAACCAGCCAGCCATCTACAAAATAGCCCTGTGCACTAGACATCACTGAGAAGAATCACATATTGTAACAGACGTTTCTGCACCAAGAGATTTTTGAGAGATGCTGTCCTGACAGAATACTAGAAAACTTTCCCAAAAGTGACAGTTGTCTTCTTATATGCAGGGTTGCTGTAGGCGTGTTAGTCCCAGGATATCAGTGACAAGGTGGGGGATTAAATAGCTTTTATTTGACCCACTTCTGTGGGAGACAGAAAAGCTATTGAACTTACAGAGAAGAGCTGTGTCTAAGCACAGAAGTTTGTCTCTTTCGCCAACAAGAGTGGGTCCAATAAAGATATTACCTCAGCCATCTTGTCCTTCTCAATTCCTTCTCGTCCAGCTTTCACTTTTCATTTCTGGTTGGATTAATACCAAACTTTGCCAAAACATTCTCCTCTGCCCAGATCTCTGCCTCAGACATTGCACAGGCTGGACGGTGCCCAGGGAGTGAATCAGGGACGCACAGTGAAAGAGGCTGTTGTCTGTAGACCCACAGTCTCATTGGTTGCAGCAGCATCATCATCGTCTTCGGTGATTCCTACATTCGAGGATGATCTCAACCACAGATTTATATATGGGTCCTGAGTATCGGGGGTAGCCGTGTTAGTCTGTATCCACAAAAACAATACGGAGTCCAGTGGCACCTTAAAGACTAGCAGATTTATTTGGGCATAAGCTTTCGTGGGTAAAAAAACCTACTTCTTCAGATGCATGGAGTGAAAGTTACAGATGCAGGCATTATTATACTGACACATGAAGAGAAGGGAGTTACCTCACAAGTGGAGAAACAGTGTTGACAGGACCACTTCAATCAGGGTGGATGTGGTCCACTCCCAAAAATTGATGAGGAGGTGTCAATTCCAGGAGAGGCAAAGCTGCTTTTGTAGTGAGCCAGCCACTCCCAGTCCCTATTCAAGCCCAAATTAATGGTGTTAAATTTGCAAATGAATTTTAGTTCTGAAGTTTCTCTTTGAAGTCTGTTTCTGAAGGGTTTTTTTTGTTGAAGTATGGCTACTTTTAAATCTGTTACAGAATGTCCAGGAAGATAGAAGTGTTCTCCTACTGGCTTTTGTATGTTACCATTCCTGATGTCCCATTTGTGTCCCTTTATTCTTTTATGTAGAGACTGCCCGGTTTGGCTAATGAACATGGCAGAGGAGCATTACTAGCACATGATGGCATATATAACATTAGTAGATGTGCAGGTGAATTAGTCCCTGATGGTGTGGCTGATGTGGTTGGGTCCTCTGTTGGTGTCACTAGAGTAGATATGGGGACAGACTAGGCAATGAGGTTTGTTACAGGGATTGCTTCCTGGGTTAGTGTTTCTGTGCTGTGGTGTGTAGTGCTGGTGAGTATTTGCTTCAGGTTGGGGGGCTATCTGTAAGCGAGGACTAGCCTGCCTCCCAAGGTCTGTGAGAGTGAGGGATCGTTTTCCAGGATAGGTTGTAGATCGTTGATGATGTGCTGGGAGCTGTACGTGATGGCCAGTGGTGTTCCGTTATTTTCCTTGTTGGGCCTGTCCTGTAGTAGGTGACTTCTGGGTACCTGTCTCGCTCTGTCAATCTGTTTCCTCACTTCCCCAGGCAGGTATTGTAGTTTTAAGAATGCTTGATAAAGATCTTGTAGGTGTTTGTATCTGTCTGAGGGATTGGAGCAAATGTGGTTGTATCTTAGGGCTTGGCTATAAACAATGGATTGTGTGATGTCTCCTGGATTGAAGATGGAGGCATAGGTAAGTATAGCCGTCAGTAGGTTTTCGGTATAGGGTGGTGTTTATGTGACCATCACTTAGATGCACTGTAGTGTCCAGGAAGTGGATCTCTTGTGTGGACAGGTCCAGGCTGAGGTTGATGATGGGGTGGAAATCGTTGAAGTCCAGGTGGAATTCTTCAAGGCCCTCCTGTCCGTGGGTCCATATGATGAAGATGTCATCAATGTAATGCAAGTAGAGGCGGGGCACTAGGGGCCGAGAGCTGAGGAAGCACTGTTCTAAGTCAGCCATATAGATGTTGGCATACTGTGGGGCCATGCGGGAAGCCATAGCAGTGCCACTGACTTGAAAGTATAAGTTGTCCCCAAATCCGAAATGGTTGTCGGTGAGGACAAAATCACAAAGTTCAGCCACCAGGTGTGCCATGGCCTCATCAGGGATACTGTTCTTGACAGTTTGAAGTCCATCCTCATGTGGAATATTAGTGTAAAGACCTTCTACATCTGCACCCTTTCCATTTTTTTTAAATATCCTTCTTAAAATGTGGACAGCACAGCTGGATGCAGTATCGGTCTCACCATGCTGTATACAGAGGTAAAATCATGACCCTGGTCAGAAATTATCCTACAAAATAGAGCTTCATTGGAAAATGCTGGTTTGTTGAACTTGACATTTCCCATGAAAGTGAGTTGGGTGCAATGAACTTTCTCCAGACCACAGGCAGTGTTATGGCAGAAACCTGCATGGTTAAGTGCCAGCTCGCTTTGGGGGGCTCCAGCCAGCCCTGCCATGCAGACTGTCTTGGGGCCAGGTACCCCAGTCTTCTCAGGTCAGCTGCTCTGGGATAGCTGCACCATGTAGACTGCCCCAGCACCAGAGACCCTGCTGTTCTATAATCTGCAGCTCCAGAGCAACCCTGCCATGGAGAAGGGAGTCCCAGCTTTAAACAGGGATCAGCTCCCAGCTCCACAGCAGGGAATTTAGAAATCCTGGGATGGAATCCTGATTCCCAGGATCTCTGGCTCTGAGGCAGCCCTGCATTGCAGACTGTTCCAGACTGGGGACCCCAGAGCTTTGAGACTCTCCGGCCACCTGGCTATTTGGGACACCAGCTGGCCCAGGAGTCTGGAAGCCCAGGGGTCCCCAGTCCAAGGCAGTCTGCATGGGGAGGTTGCTGAAGAGCCACAGACCCTGGGAACCCCAGCAGCAGCTGAGAGAAATTGACATTTTTGTTTTTCTCTAAGCACTGGTGAAACTGACAAGAATGTCAGTGTCACTCATCATCTGCTGGTGTCCCTGGGAGCAAATTTCATGTTGGACACACCATGTGTTGGTGTTTCCAGAACAAATGTTGAGAGGATTTCTGGTTCACAGGAAGTTTTGAAATAGCAAATTTTCCTGTAAGCTGGAAATCCTACATTTCATCCAGTTCTTCTCACTGGTCCCCCGTTTAAACCTCCAAGGATCACCTCAGCCTTTTCTCAGCATCACCCTGGGAGCTCTAGTTCAGTGGCTTGTCCACTATGACACCTGCGAAGACCATGGGAGATATCTGTATGTTTATGTATATTGTGTGTACCTCTGTTTCTTTTATTGCTGTTTTACCATTTCCTACCAGGGTTGAAAGAGTAACTCCTGCTGGAGCTCCCCCATGTCCCAGCAAGGCAGAAAATGACTACAGAGACCCCAGTCACTGGTACTTAACTGACAATACAGGTGTCAAGGCCTTTCAACTTTTGCCTCTGACCAAGCTGGGCACAACCCCCCCCCCATCTTGGGAGAGGGGAGGGGCCATTCACGTGGGCAAATTAAATAAAGAGCTTGGGAACTTTGAAAAGGGGAGCCCTGATGAACAGAGAGGGAGAGGCAGGGTCTGCAGGGAAGGAGATTGAAACCCAGTCCCCAGAAGCAGGGGTACCTGGGATAGGTTGGCCAGCCCAGGTTTTGAGAGAAATGCTGAGGATTAGGTAAGACATATTCTTATTGGCCTTTAGTTGCTTTAATACTTTTCTCTCTGGTCACTGTGTTCCTATGGATACATAAATAATATCACTCTCCTGGGCCAGGTACTAGTCAATATTTTCATTAATGATTTGGATAGTGGAGTAGAGAATAAACTCATAAAATGTGTGGATGACACAAACCTGGGAGGGGTCACAAGTTCTTTGGATGAGAGTATTAGAATTCATAATGACCTTGATACATTGGAGAATTGGTTTGAAATCAGCAAATTAAAATTCAGAAAAGACAAGTACAAAGTACTAGACTTAGGAAGGAAAAATCAAATGCAAAAAATCCAAAATGGGGAATAACTGACTAGGCAGCAGTACTGCAGAAAATGTTCTGGGGTTATACTGGATCACAGACTGAAATGGGTGATGCTGTTTTGAAAACAGGAAATGTCATTCTGGATTTAATTAACAGAATTGTCCTATGTAAGACACGGGAGGTAATTGTCCTGCTGTACTCAGCACTGGTGAGGCCTCAGCTGGAGCACTGTGTCCAGTTTTGGGCTCTCTCTCTTCGATGGGTAGGACAAGAAGTAATCCACTTAGATTGCAACAACGGAGAGTCAAGTCAGATATTAGGAAAAACTTTCTAACTCTAAGGATAGTTAAGTACTGGAAAAAGGTACCAAGGGAGGTTGTGGAATCCCCGTTGTGACATTGCACTCCATATGTTTCATGGAAATATGCTTATGAGTGTGAATATGATGTAACTGGAATATGCTTTATGCAAAAGTCTCCTGTAAGGTATCATAACAAAAGTTATAAACTACTGAATATATTCCTCCTATTTGTATAGAAATATGATATAACTCTGAGGTCCTATTGTAATTATGCAAAGTGTGGGCCATTAATGGTGGTTTAGAATCTTGATGGCTCCTATTGACTAGGACAATTGGTTGTAGATGGTTTATTTACCTGCAAGCCTTCCTGTGTACCTGTGGGCCAGCCTGTGGATAATGAAGAATGAGGTCTCAAAGGACATGTCCCCATGTCACATGATACTGGAATTCATTGTAAATCTGGTACTTTTCTATTTAGAAGGAGGGATGGGGACCCAGAGAGACAAAAAAGATTCCCGCCTTGTACCAAAGCTATATAAAGGGGAGGAACAGGACAGAGGGGGCTGCCAGTCATGAGACAGCCCCTGGTTTCCACCTAAGATGTCTGCTGGAACTAATAAGGACTATACCAGGGGAAAGGATTGGGCCCAGACTAGGGAGGAGTCTAGTCTGTGAAAGAAGCTTATTGGAACATCTTTGAGGGTGAGATTTTACCTGTGATCGGTTTCTTAATGTATTAGGCTTAGATTTGCGTGTTTTTGGTTTATTTTGCTGGGTGACTTACTTTGTTCTGTCTGTTATTACTTGAAACCACTTAAATCCTACTTCTTATACTTAATAAAATCACTTTTGTTTATTAATGAACCCAGAGTAAGTGATTAATACCTGGGGGAGCAAACAGCTGTGCATATCTCTCTATCAGTGATATAGAGGGTGAACAATTCATGAGTTTACCCTCTATAAGCTTTATACAGAATAAAATGGATTTATTTGGGTTTGGATCCCATTGGGAAATGGGTGTCTGGGTGCTGGAGACAGGTGACCTGCTGAGCAGTTTTTGGTTGAAGTCTGCAGCTTTTGGAGTGTGAACCAGACCTGGGTCTGTGTTGCAGCAGACGAGCGTGTCTGACTCAACAAGGCAGGGTTCTGGAGTTCCAAGCTGGCAGGGAAAATGGGCTCAGAGGTAATTTCAGATCATCAAGTGGCAGTCCGAAGGGGGACGGTCCCCTCTGTGACTGAGCCCGTCACACACGTCATTGGTGACTTTTAAGAACAAGTTAGACAAACATATATCTGGGATGGACTAGGTATACTTAAACCTGTCTTGGTGTGGGGGGACGGATTAGCTGACTTCATGAGGTTCCTTCCAGTCCTCCATTTCTATTTATTCCAAGATTTTATAAGCTATTCAGGCGTGCTGATTTTTTTTTTTTTAAATTCCCTAGTAGATACTGTTTAACATCCTCCTTAGTTACCAATGGACTGCAGAGTGGTTCACCCTCTTCACATAGTATGAATACACATCCTGCTTCTATCCAAAATCAGAAATGTTTCTTGAACACTTCTGCCTTATTTGCATTATTATAAACTATTTTACCATCTCCATTTGTAATGGGTCTACACCTTTGTTAGGATTTGTTTGTTTGTCTTTGCTCCTAATATACTTTAAAAAATTCTCAGTATTGGTCTTAGCCCTGCCAACTATTGAGTTTTACCTGATAGCTTTAGTTTCCCTTATTGATTTTCTACATCTCATAACTTCTAATGTATATTGATTGCTATTAAATTCCCCTCTTTCCATTTGTTGTAAAAAAACAAAAACAAAACAAAAACACCTCTAATTGCTGCCTGCACTGTCCCACTGCACCAGGATGGGCTTTTGGCCAAAGTTCTAAGGCAGAGAACACCTAACTCCTTCAGGCTACTTTGTAATTTTCATCCTTCATTGGCTTTCCAGGACACATTGAGCTCCAGCTGGTTGGAGGTGACAGTGCCTGCTCAGGACGTGTGGAAGTAAGGCATGGAGACACCTGGGCTACAATCTGTGATGCACACTTTGATCTCAAAGCTGCCAGTGTTATCTGTAATGGACTACAGTGTGGAACAGCTCTATCTATCCCAGGAGGAGTTCACTTCGGAGAAGGACATGGACCAATCTGGACTGAGGAATTCCAGTGTGTAGGGAATGAGTCACACCTCATCTACTGTCCCAGGGTATCACATGTGAATCAGACGTGCTCACATGCAAATGATGCCAGCACCATATGCTCATGTAAGAATTTGGCACAATGTCTCTAAAATCCCAGTGCTGTGTATTCTAGAGTAGGGCGCAGCAATAAAATGATCTCACTCTGTAGGGAGCTGGGATAATAGAGCTGCTCTCAGCTTCTAGTAAAACCTAAACAATCCAATATAATGGGAATGGGCTCAATCCCCCCGACTTTCCTTTTCTTTATTATTTAATATAAAGTATCTTAAATGCTCCCTCTCTAAACCCTTTCTCCCTTCTCCCCAGGGCACACACGGTTCCGGCTGGTGAACGGCAGCTCAGAGTGCTCAGGGAGGGTGGAGATCCAGGTTCTTGGTGCCTGGGGAACCCTCTGTGACTCACGCTGGGATTTACCGGATGCCAACGTTCTCTGTCATCAGCTCGACTGCGGATTTGCTGTATCAGCCCCAGGAGGAGGGTACTTTGGGAAGGGAACTGGCTCTGTCTGGACAGACACATTTCACTGTAAAGGGACTGAAACCCATTTGGGCCATTGCCCTGTTACTGCTCTGGGGGCCTCTCAGTGCTCTCACGATAATGACGCCAGTGTGATTTGCTCAGGTAAGTGCAGGAGAGATGCTGGATTAATGACACCTGCCCCTCAGTGTGTGATACTGTCCCCAGAGCAGGGAAACTTCAGGGCATGGCAAGGGAAGGGGGAGCTAGATCCTAAACCATGTCCAATAACAACTAATATATTACAAGTAAAAGTAAAAAGTATTATCACAAAATAATAGTTATGACTAGGGAAAGCCCTGGATTTTCCAGGAAGAGCTTGAGCAAAAGTTTGTGTGTGCAGGGCAGTAAAGCAGGGACAGAATTTGTCCTTAAGAGTTTCATAAATCTCACCAACTCACTGTCCCCATCCTTTTTTAAAATCATTACTCCGGTAGTTACAGGGGGAACCACCCCCTATATGGATGTTGCTTCACACTGTCTATTATAAAATATTCTCAGCACCTTTTTCAGAAGCTCTCGTGTCTTCATTGATTGTAGCAGGCCTTTGCAATTTGGCAAGGGGTCAGTGCCAGGAAAGCACCTCCCCTTGCTTCAGTTAAATTCCTTCCATTTTGGCTGAAATATAAACTGCTGAAAATAACAATTTCCTTTTTCTTACATGAGTACCTGAGGATATTTTTGGTAGCATGCCACAAAGAAAATAGTACTTTCTCGCACTGTAAAAATAAAAATAAAAAAATTCACACCTTTCCAGTTGAAAAACGTTCAGGAGTGTTGTTCCCTGCTTTCTGATACTTTTTTCAATCTTTTTATAGTGGGAAAAACAGGGGGGAAATAACAAGGGAGAAAATGCAGGAGAATCTGTAAACTATAAAATGAAAATGGAAAACTGTTTTTTTGTTTCCAGAACCTGAAATGAAACAACATTTTAATTAGAATCTAAACAATAATTATCATTCAATTTCCAAAAGTCAAAATCTTGGTTCTTTTTTCAAAAATATCCAGAGAAAAACTGAAATATTGCATTTGAAATACTTCATAGGAAAAAATTAGCGGTTTTCAACCAGCTCTAATATTTACCTTACGTACAAAAAAGAAAAGAGAGAAGAGAGAGAGAGAGAGAAGAAG